AGGACTTGGAATATCCTTCTAAAAGCTAAATGCATGAGATATGCACTTTGACACATGACAATAAGACTAACAAAAATCACGTGTTCATGCTAATAGGAACTTCCAATGGCATCGTAGCGGGAGTCTGACATCCGAGCGAGAGGTCAGACCAATTCTATTTATCTTGGCAACCGACACTACACTGCGTAGGTACATGTGCAGGTGAGACGTCGATCGGTCATTTAATTGCGTCCTCTTGTAAACGAAAGAGCTCCATGCCAGAAATAGTTAATGAAAATCGGGTACCTTGTTGCTGACAATTGAGTGTGGCCTATCAACTAGCTCTAACTCTAAAGACCGAGAAAAAGCTAAAGAGATTTGTAGGAGGCTCTACGGGAAGCCGCTGCGCGACCTCTGACGCAACTATTTTATGATGGATTGGTGCATCTACAAATGTGTATTGCCCCAATATCATGAATGACAAATGATGCTTCATTTATTACTTCCATTTATTCTTATCACTTAACAATGTGTGATAATATATGATCTGTTTTTTATTTAGTTTAACCAATGAATTTGAGCCTCAATACATGATGCAATAATGTATATGCATTCTAAAAGCTAAATGGTTGCAATATGTATGCATGATGCTCATTTTATTTTTGCTCAAATAATAGAATGTGGCTATGAATGCACAATGCATCATATTTAAATTTTCACAATTTAACCATGATGTGAAAACAGTTTATTTTTTTGAAGAATATATATGCAAGTGATGTGAATGTATGATTTGTGAAAATATGGTTGAGAGAACAAGAAGTTTTTCCATATTTTGCAAAGATATTACTTTTTTGTATACTCTCATCCTTCTTATTAGCAATAATTTAGCAAAGAATCAAATGAGAAAAGGTAATGTCAACATTGGAAGAAACACATCAACTGTTCTTTTTTTTTTTTTTTGAATGCCTTCACTCGATCAAGGTAATTTCTCAAACCATATCAGGCTTGGTGGCCTTCTTTTGGAGAGGTAACTCATGTTTCAATTTAGAGAACTATCAAAAGTAATTCATAGCATTATACATTTTGCTTGATTAAACTGCTTCATAAACTCAACCTTGTAGTTGACAAGAATGTTGGATACAAGAAAATAGATCTGGCTTTATGAACAAACAAGGATGAAAATCATGATTTTCCATCAAGCTTAACAATGAGAAAAGTCAGCGAGCTTCCTTTTTAAAGAAAAGGAAACCAAGAGTTCAATGATATTTTGTCAAATCTCTCGAATATGTTTTTTTTTTAAAAGCTTTGGTGAGAGATTAGAGCATGATCAAATGAATAGAATAGTAGAAATGATTCAATTTCTTTGGATAGATAACCTTGAGAAATGGTTGCGTAACTCCCCACGAGTTCATCTCATGTACCACACTCCTTCTTTGAGCTTAGCTAGGGACACGTGATGAAAATCTTCTTTTTTGCCTTTAGCTTTAAAATAGTTTTTTACGGCCATGTTGCTGCAATCCACTTTTGAATGTAAATGACTTATCTTTCCTTCCTTCAACTTCAAAGGGTAGTTTTTTATGGAAATGTTGTCAGACAACCCACTTTGTGAAGTGAATGGCCTTCAAAAATCGAAAGATTTCCTACAAGAGAAATGAGATATTCTCAGGATGGCCTTTGTCTCATGACCTTGCCCCAGCTTGCAAATGATAGTTTTGCCCCAGTGTAGCAAATGACGACTTTTGCCCCAATATAGTAATGATCAAATTTGCCGTAGTGTGGAGATTTGCAAAGAAGACCTTGAAGCTTTTGAAATTGTTGTTGTAGTTCTCTGTTGATTGCCCTAGTCATTGAACTAAAGAAATGTCACAACCTTAGACATTTTTTTTGTTTATTTTTCTTTTTTCTTTTTCCTTTTGTAATTTTTTTCATTTTCCTTTCTTTTTTCCTTTTCATTTTTTTCACAATTTTTTTTTACAAACAAAATATGGTGCAATCACATATAAAAAAGTCAACCACAAGTCGCCTTTTGCAACCCTCACCATTGTTCTAATTATTTCTTTGTAGACGCTACTTCAGTATCATGATGAAACTGATCTCAAGCAAAACTCATCAAAGGAGACTGAGACCTTGAGACTATTTGTCAGGTCGTTACTTTCCCAATTCTCAAAACTACTATCCTTAGTCTTGAAATCACTTTTACTAAAAAGAAGATAAGAGACTAAGAATTGTGATAGGAGAACAAGATGAAATAAAAAGTGAAAGAATGAAGTATTAGTAGGGAAATTTTTGAGCAACTACAAGTACCAATTTATGAAGCAGTCAATCATGAGAGCTCAATGTTATTTTATTACTTTCAAATTTCTCAGGGCAACACTAGGTGGATAATTTTGGACATTTGCCACGCAATTAGATGTGGCAGGCTTGGTAAAAGGTCTTTATGGTAAGTAGGCAAATATGGATATTCATCACAAAAATTGTATGTGATGGGCTGAGCAAAGGATTTTTGCAGTAAATGATCAACTTTCAATGTTGACCATTTTTACCATGTATTGATAGGCTAGGCTCAACGTAGATTAGGCTTAAAGCAGGCTAGGCTCAAAGTTTTATAGAGAGTTAGTAATTTTGGATTCTCACCTGAAAAAGGCATCAGTGCCCCAGTGTGATTGTTTACTGGTTTGCACATGAGAAGAAATACGGAGGCTAACATAAAGCTGCTTTGGGTTAGGATTTAGCCCGAGAACAAAGCTTGGTAAAATGGTTGAGTTTTGAAAAAAAATTATATCTCGTTGAAAACTTTGATTTTTCATTTTTTTTTTATTTTTTATTTCCTTTTTTCACTTTTTGTTTTGTTTTTTTGTTTTTTGTTTTGTTTTTTTGTTTTTTTTCCTCCAAGTGACTTACTATGATTGGTTTATGATTCTTGCTAAGGTCTCCACTAACAAGAATTATAAGAGTAGACTATATAAAAAATTATTATTGAAAATCTCAAATCATGTAATTTTTTATTGAGAGCATTTTAAAAAAAAAAACTATATTTTTTTCCACCAATGATATGATATGAGTGATGCATGAGTGAATGTATGACTTTGATTTTTTTTTTTTAAGAAAAATAGCTCAATTTCCACATACTCACCTTCTTTTTTACAAGTACTTAGCTAAATCATGGGTGACTAAAGCTTCATTGTCATTTTAACACTAGCAAGCAATCTCAAAGATGACTTCAAAGAAGAAATAAACTTTATTGATAATGCAAAGCAATAGGTCAACATTAATGTTAATAATCTTGTACACTCATGATTCTAGTGCTTCATGTATTGACCATATTCCTTTGAAAACTTTAGCCATCCTACCCTCATTAGCACTTGCACTTTATGCTTCAGTGAGGTACAGTTCTCAATTGAATGACCTACAACTCCTGCATGATAATCACAACGAACATGCGGGTCGTACCACTTTGGATAAGGTGGTTGTAATGGCTCTACGGGTACGGGAGCTAATAGATTACCTTGAAATAATTGGGATAACAACTCGGTATAGGATATTGGGATCGAATGAAAGCTCTCTCGCTTTAGTTGTCTCCGACTACTGTGATTGTCAGGTAATATTTGTGGATCATCCTGTAGAGTCAATGAGTTTATGGGTACCGTAGAAGGACTGTATGCCACGAATCCTTGTTGGTACTTCCCCTTGCTCTTCGAAACTATTGCCTGAACTTTATTTTTCCTTTTAAAAGAGCTTCTATTCGTTTCAAGGTGTGGCTCTTTATTAATTAAAGACATTGGCGGTTGTTCCATTGCTTCTCCCCATCTCTGAGCATATTCTTTCCCTGCAGTCTCTTCAACATTTCCATTGGTAACATTTTCTTTTTCTTTACCTTTTAAAATATTTGAGTGAATGACCTTTGATGCTTGTCTATCTTGGAATGTGAATTCAACCTGACAGATTGTAGGAGCTTGTTGGCCTTTCTTGGAAAGCTGAGCTTCATGTGATGAATTATGCTGGGGGAAGCTCTYTRTTGGTTGACAAAGAGGTGGGTCCAACCTAGGTGGTGAATTATTATGAGGTTCGACTAAATTGTTAGGTTGAGAAGTATCCCCAACTGTAACAATATTCTTTAAGACATTTAAAATTTCCATGACTTGCTCCTGAATGTTATCGATGTCTTGTCTCATCTTCTTTAGCTCTACATTCTGCACCTCCATGACTTGTTCTTGAATCTCGTCTCTTATTTTCTTTAGCTCAATATTCAATTCTTCCATGACCCGGTCGTGGATTTGGTCTCTAATTTTCTTTAGCTCAGCATTAAGTTCTTTCATGTAATTTTGCTTTATGTACCTTGTATATAAAGAATAGTAAATATGTGGTTCTTGAGCTATTTTTCTAAGAGTTCATGTTAATTATGATGTAATGGAGAATGCACAGATTTTGATTTTTTAAGATAGAAATTGATATGCATGAGACGATTAGATGCAAATGTTGGATCACCAATTAGGGGAATTATGCGAAACAATGCCTGCGAAAATATTGCTTCCTTTTTTTTTAATATATATATTTAGACATATAAATGATGCATTAGAACGATAAATTTTAATTTATGATATAGACATGTAAAATGATGCATACAAAAGATAGATATATTTTTTTAATTTATGATATGGACATGCAGAATGATGCATGAACAGGATAAGTTTTATTTTATTTTATTTTCTTTGGAGGAGAAAAAAAATTATCTAAATATGCTATAAACTGCCCCAAGAATATGCTAAATACTTTATGCAATCGTTAATATATTCCTGGGATTGTTTAGTCTTTTTGTAACAAAAAAAAGAGAGAAATTTGGGGAATTATTAAAGATTGAAGTTTAAAGGGTATATTGGTCTTTTTAACTTAAAAGAAAAGAGAAAAAAAAAGGAATTTGGTTTGAATTTTAAAGGCGACACGTGTGTGTTTGTGGTGTTGCCTTAGGAAAGTTGTGTGTGACGTGTTTTAAAAAAAAAGAGAGAAACAGAAAAGGAAAGAAAAGAAAAGAAAAGAAGAAAGAAGGGGAAAAAAAAGAAAGAACAGAGAGGGGTGAAACGAAAACGGAGAAGGAAAAAGGAGGGAGAGAGAACGATGGTGAAGAAGAGAAAGAAGCGGAGAAGAAGAGTTTGAAGAAATTTGTTTTAAAAGCAGCGGTACGGAGTTATGGATTCATAGTTTGGTAAGTTTTTTAAAACTAAGTAGGAGAAATCATGGGTTATAGGATTTTTTAAGGTGAAATTTTGTGGGTTTTATTCTTTAGAAATTCTGTGAATCTGTGGATTTTTGTGGTTATATTCAAGAAATTGCTTAGAAGAAAATTTGAATTTCTGGCCTTAATAATCGTTTTACAGAAAACGTAATTGTTATTATGGGTATCTTTAATGGTGGAATTTGAGGGGAATTTGTGAAGAAGAAGAAGGAAATTGAAGGT